GCCATGTCTTAAGATCCCAAGTCCTAGAACTTGGTTCAGTTAATATATATTAGGAACTGGCCACGTGTACTGGCCAAGTCTGGAGTGAAACCTCACCTTGATAAACACAGTGAAAACCTGAGCAAACGAAATCTTGCAGCAGCTAAGTTGTGAGTCAGGGATATTGGCATGCTGAGCAAGGGGAGGCATAGGAGCAAGTGCATGGGCTTAGGGCGGCAGAGAGAGTGAGGATAATAAAAGAAGGATCTTAGGAAAAAGGTCTTCGGGGCCAGCCAGTGGCATAGTGGTTACATTGCTAGCTCACACATGGTCGACCATGGTTCATGTCCTGGACCTGGTGGCTGGAAAATCAGGCCACATGCATGTGCATGCATACTCAAGATCCTGGGAGGAGAATAAAGAAGGCACTGCAGTGCGGCTATCTCTCCCCCAGGGGCACTCTCACTGTCTCTGTCTCTCTCTGGTGGGTGTATGCACCTTAAGGCAGAAAACATCTTTAAAAAAAAGAGAGAGAGAGAAAGAAAAGTGGTCCGAAGGATGTCAGAGTGAACCTGCTGAGCCAGGATCAACAGCATGTGTGACGTCGCGTTCCTCCTGTTTGTGGGAGGCCCTTCTAACTGCCACTGTGGAAGCTGAAGATCAGTCAGTTTGATTTGTGCAAAGACTCTGTACAACAGCTTTGTTTTCTTTCTCCTGTCAAAAAGGAGAGCTTCATGATGGCATCTGTCATTTATTGAGTACCTGTGTGCACTTGTAGCAGAAGGTTCTGGGTGTTTTGTTTTTGCTTTGTTTTATTTGTGTATTACTGCCGGAGAAAGGGAAAGGACTGGAGAGGAGGAGAGAGCACCCCGCAAGGTGGCACAGCCACGCCACAATCCCCTCTCCTCCATTTCTCCTTGCTGTCAGGATTTTGAGCACTCATGCATATGTGCCCCGTGTGCTTTTCAAGTTGGCAGGGTCAGCATTCGCATGTGACTGGCCCCATGGGGGCCCGCTGCCTGTGCACGAGCTCAGTCACTGCACTGTGGGGCCTGCCCAGTGTTAGGAGTCTTACGTCTCTTGACATCTCGGAGTCTTGTGCCCATCGCTGTGGGGATCTCTGTTCTAGCAGTGAAGAAGCTAAGACCACCCGTAGCACCACTGTCTGTGCCAGGACCACACAGGGAACATCTGTGTGACTCCAAGACCTCCCCTCCTTTTTTTTTTTTCCCAAGAAATTTTTCCTAGGGAACCAGCAGTTAGCGTAATGGCTATGTCACTGGACTCCCACGTAGTCGACTGCGGTTCAAGTCCCAGACCCGGTGGCTTAAAACTCACGCCGGGCGCGTGTGCGTGCGTGCCCAAGATCCCTAGAGGAGAAGGGATTGAGGTGTGGCCATCCCCCCTGGGGGGTGATTTCTCACTTTCTGTCTCTATGTCTCTCTGTCTGTCTGGCGAGCACATGTGCCCTATAGCGAAAATCTCTCCAAAAAAAATTTTTTTTTTTTTTCCTAGAGGGCATGTGTGCTCACTGAGAGAGAGACAGAAAGCGAGAAATCACCCTTCAGGTCAGGTGCCACAAGCTCTTCTCCTCCATTCTCTCGGGATCTTGAGCACACACGCATACACCCAGCATGAGTTTCAGGCCACTGGGTCTGGGACTTGAACCACAGTCTGTCATGTGGGAGTCCATCACCTTAACCACTACACCACCAGCTGGCCCCCAGACCTCCCTCTTCTTACCATGACTCAGCTGGCCTCTGCATCTGTCTCGCACAATGCTGGAATTTTACTCCGATCAGTTTTTACATAGTCATGTAGAATAATAAACAAGATATTTAGGTCAGGATTAGAAGAAACCACATTCTCGCCTTACTGTTACTTCTCTGAGTGGGCCAGTTGGCTTTCATTTCTTTGTCTTTTTTTTTTTTTTTTTTAATGTAAGATTAAGTGGCCTCACCCTGAAATCTACCTTAATGAAAACAAAAACATTAGATCTCTGAACTGAGATAATCTTATTGCGAAAGCATTAGGTTGCATGTAGTTTAGACTGTACAATGTCTGGGCTGGGGCCTTGTGTGTAAGGGATCAGAAAGGCAGGTCCCACTGGCCTCTCTAATGGAGTCAAGCCAGGCACCTGTTGTCAACAGTTGGGTGGTTTGTTTTATATTATCCAAATTGGGTAGTTACTGGCCTCCCCTACACCTTTCTACCTCTTAGCTTTTGGCTTTCTTCTACAATGCGTGCTGCTCAGCTTTTTTCCAAAGGAAAAGAACAAAGGTTCCCGGATAGATTACTGGATGGCCTGCCTGTCTTACTTGGGAAGAGTCCTTAGTCCATCTATTGGGTTTGAACATGTTAGCATAGGGACCAGCAGGTGGCATGATGGTTGAGGCACTGACTCCCACATGGCCGACTGTAGTTCAAGTCACAGACTTGGCGTCTTATTCTCTCACTTTCTCTCTCTCTCTCTCTCCCCCGTGAGCAAGTGAGCCCTATAGCAAATTTTAAAAATGAATTAATATCAATAATTCTTAAAAACAAATAAAGAAAAAGAAAAGGTAAGCTTGAGAGGAAAGGTCACATAGGGCAGCAGGTGGCATGAAGATTAGGGCACTGGATTCCCCTTGGCCAGCAGCGTGGTTCAAGTCCCAGATCCAGTGGCTTGAAAACCACGCCAGTTGTGTGTGCATGGCCAGTTGCATGGTGCCCAAGATCCTGAGAGGATATTGGAGGAGAAGGATTTCAGCGTGCCCCCATCTTTCTCTGGCAAGAGTTCATACATACCCTGTAACAAAAACTAAAGAAAAGGAAAGGTCATGTAGGACTTTGAATGTACTGTTGTCAGAATCTTTACAGTCTTTGGGGACCAGTAGGTGGCATGGTGATTGAGGTGCTGGACACTCCCACATGGCCGACCACAGTTCGAGTCCTGGACCTGGTGGTTTCCTTTCTAACTTTTCTTTCTCTTTCTCTGTATCTCTCTTTGATCAAATTAAAATAAGTGAATGAATAAAATTAAATAAATAATTTGAAAGTCTTTACGGTCTTTAAATATCTGTGTGATTAAATTAGGAATTTTGGTAAGTATCATAGATAAGTGGGTCTGACTCACACCTGTGTCTGGGTTCAGGCCTATGCCTAGGACTGGGTGGCTGGCATGGCCCCAGGGTCTAGCCTCTGACCTTGGCTTTGAGCAATTCCCCTATTCTCAGGAGACTAGAAAGAGTTCATTCCAGTTACACTGCTTGCTAAATTTGTTGATCGTAAAGTATTTTAATAGGCTCTGTAAATAAGGTTTGTAGGTAAACTGTTTAGTGAACTAATAACTGAAATACAGAGGTTTGGAAACCTCTTTAAAGATTTTAGGAATAAGTTACTTTTAGTGCCCCTTCAGTGGGATTTTCTTGCTCTTTCCTCCCCCTATTGGGTAAACAGGTTTCTTGTTTGCTTTTGGAATGTCAGAGGACATTACCAACCTTCCTGTAGCACAATAGTTCTGAAAATGCTGAAAGCTTGGGGTGGGCGTGTGTTTATATAATTTAACTTTTCTTTTCTTGAAATCAGTAAATATTTACAAATGGCCTTATCAAACAGTTAGGGTACATTCAGTCACATGAAAGCACATAGCCAGAGCAGTGACTGCCCATTGGCCAATTCCAGGGGCCTCAGAGGAAGGACTTTAACATTTTGTTAAAGTTTGTGTGTGTGTGTGTGTGTGTGTGTGTGTGTGTGTGTGTGTTAAGGTTCTTGCAATAGGACATGTGTGCTCTCTGGGAAGAGACAGGGAGAGAGAGAGAATGAGAAATCACCACCCAGGGAGGATGGCCACGCCACAATCCTTCATTCTCGGCATTTTGGTCATGCATGCACATGTGCCCTGCATGTTTTTCAAGCTGCTGAGTCCAGGACTTGAACCAGGGAGTCATCCATGTGGGATCCAACACCTTAACCAACATGGCACCTGCTGGGCCTTTTGTTTTTGTTTTTGCTTCTAATTGTCAGAGGGCATGTGCTCCCCAGAGGGAAGGCAGAGTGAGAAGGAGAAGAAGAAAGCATCTTCCCTCTGTCTACTGCAAATGAGTCATGGACATACCACACTCTCTCCTCTTCCATTTCTCCATCCTGTTGGGATTTGGGGCATGCATGCTTGCACATGCGCCCAGCATGTCTCCCAAGCTGCCAAGTCCAGGATTCCAACTGTGGTTTGCCACATGGGATCCGATTCCCTTAACTACCAGGTCATGGGACTGGCCTGACATTTTTTAAATATGCTATTCCTAGACCAGATGCCTCCAGCTCAGTGTCTGCTAGGAGGTCTCTTACTCCAAGGTACCAGTTATAGAAAATTTGCATTTTAAAATTTGACTTCTGAGGAGTTGACTCTTAGAGGCTGGAACAGATTGCTGGAAACTGAGGAATTCAAGTGATAGTGAATTCTGGCTTAGGTTTACCATTGCTTCCAGAATTCTCTTGTTTCTTAGGAAAGGTAACTACAGAATTCTATTCCAAGTATACATGTTATTTCGTAAGTTACAAAAAACAAGTGGTTTACTTTTTCATTTTTGTACATTGGTTCCTATTTAATGTGGTTGAAGAATGTAACTCTAATTCTTAGAGGTGAAGTTTTAAGGGTGTCTTGGCCCTCTTTGAACATTTGAAACTCGACAAAGTTAAAGCTCATTTTTGGAGAAGTAAGTACATGTATTATTCAAAGTAGACACCGAAAAATAATAAACGATTCTTATTTCTTTTGGTAGTCTGGACATGAAAATTATAATATTATATCAGCATGATCTGACAATAGCATGTTCATTTTGTTTATCAAACTTTATATGAGTGGGATCGAAGTAACATTTTATGTTGTTCGGTTACCAGAGTACAGTATTTACGGTTAGCAAACAGTCAAAAATAAATGAGATGTTTTAAAAAAATAAATACGTCTGGTAAGAGCTATGTATCTACCATGAAATACTTAGTGCTTCTCTATTAATACGTTTGCATTTTTCTCTTCTTTACAGAGTATTGGAAAAGGGTCATTGTGGTGCATAGACCCCGAGTATAGACAAAATCTAATTCAGGCTTTGAAAAAGACACCTTATCAACAGTGCTCACATGTGTTCAGTACACCGCCCACCTCTCCTCAGGCATATCAAAGGTAAGCAATTCAAACCCTTTCTTTTCTTTTCTTTCTTTTTCTTTCTTTTTCTTTTTTTTTTTGGCTACCAAAATTCCATTATTTTGGCAGAGATAGGTGCCAAAACTAAGTTAATAGGCTGCACGAGATTTTAAAAATAACTGCAGGTAAATGAGAGAGAAATTACGTATTATTAGGAGGCATAGTCACTGACAGGTTTTCTGCCAACCTTACCGCTTCTGCTGCTTTGGAGGTGTGTTTCCAGGCTTCACGGTGGGGAAAAGAATGTCTTCCTGGGTAGAAACATTGACAAAGAGAAGTCGACAGCTTTGACTTCTCAGTGTGTCACATTTTGTTGGAATAAAAGGACAGGAATGAGTCAAGCAAGCAATTCCCATCTCCCCATAATCTGACCGGTCTCTACAGATGTTCGCTGAAGGCTTCCTTGGTGTTGTCGTTGTGGTCGCCATGCAGACGGTGTTCCTGAGTGATCATTTTGTTGTGGTTACTTGTTGTTTGCCTTTTCAAGGAGAACAGCAGAGAACAGTGGAGTCTTTTTTTTTTTTTTCTCTCACATGCCCATTTGTTCTGAGACACTGAAGTTATGGGTGACATTTTGCAAATATATCATTGAAGGGGAAGGTTGAGTATCCTGCCACTTTTTTTTTTTTTTTTTTTTTTAGGTAGTCTGGACATGAAAATTATAATATTATATCAGCATGATCTGACAATAGCATGTTCATTTTGTTTATCAAACTTTATATGAGTGGGATCGAAGTAACATTTTATGTTGTTCGGTTACCAGAGTACAGTATTTACGGTTAGCAAACAGTCAAAAATAAATGAGATGTTTTAAAAAAATAAATACGTCTGGTAAGAGCTATGTATCTACCATGAAATCCTTAGTGCTTCTCTATTAATACGTTTGCATTTTTCTCTTCTTTACAGAGTATTGGAAAAGGGTCATTGTGGTGCATAGACCCCGAGTATAGACAAAATCTAATTCAGGCTTTGAAAAAGACACCTTATCAACAGTGCTCACATGTGTTCAGTACACCGCCCACCTCTCCTCAGGCATATCAAAGGTAAGCAATTCAAACCCTTTCTTTTCTTTTCTTTCTTTTTCTTTCTTTTTCTTTTTTTTTTTGGCTACCAAAATTCCATTATTTTGGCAGAGATAGGTGCCAAAACTAAGTTAATAGGCTGCACGAGATTTTAAAAATAACTGCAGGTAAATGAGAGAGAAATTACGTATTATTAGGAGGCATAGTCACTGACAGGTTTTCTGCCAACCTTACCGCTTCTGCTGCTTTGGAGGTGTGTTTCCAGGCTTCACGGTGGGGAAAAGAATGTCTTCCTGGGTAGAAACATTGACAAAGAGAAGTCGACAGCTTTGACTTCTCAGTGTGTCACATTTTGTTGGAATAAAAGGACAGGAATGAGTCAAGCAAGCAATTCCCATCTCCCCATAATCTGACCGGTCTCTACAGATGTTCGCTGAAGGCTTCCTTGGTGTTGTCGTTGTGGTCGCCATGCAGACGGTGTTCCTGAGTGATCATTTTGTTGTGGTTACTTGTTGTTTGCCTTTTCAAGGAGAACAGCAGAGAACAGTGGAGTCTTTTTTTTTTTTTTTCTCTCACATGCCCATTTGTTCTGAGACACTGAAGTTATGGGTGACATTTTGCAAATATATCATTGAAGGGGAAGGTTGAGTATCCTGCCACTTTTTTTTTTTTTTTTTTTTTTTAGAGAGAGAGATTTTTTTCTATTGGGTGCATGTGCTCACCAGAAGACAGAAAGTGAGAAATCACTCCACAGGGGAGATGGCCATGCCTCCATCCATTCTCCTCTTAGGATTTTGGGTACACACACATGCCTGGCATGAGTTTCAAGCCACCGAGTCCAGGACTCGAACTCTTTTGGGCCCTGTGGGAGTCCAGTGATGTAACCATTATGCCATCTGCTGGTCTCACCTGCCACATATTTTTAAAAAAGCATATTAATGTCAGATTCTGAAAAAAAAAAATCATATACTAATGAACCAAATTTTAAAGTGGATTTTACATATACATAGTGCTTGCGTTTTTAAATGTATCCCTCAACCTACAAAAATTGTTGTAAAAAGCAGACAGAAATGTTTCTATTGGAATCACCCAGTTAAGAGCAGCTGTTCTTGGACCACAAGTTTATGTTCATTAGAAATGATATCATGTCATAGATTTCAGCAGTCCCACAGTCCGTTTCTTTGCAAAGCCTTTTCCTAGTCCGGTGTTTGTTCTGCTGGAGGGAGCATAAAGTGATCCTCTGAAATGGCATTAATGGAGTTCTTGCGCATCTCAGTTGAGAAGCATTCCATCACGGGCCCTGGACAATCAGTCTTCAGCGAAAGACAGGGAGGAACAGCTGGGCTCTCTGAGAAGACTGCTGTATGTCTGCCTTTGCTAGGCGATTAGCGTGATGGTAGGCATAGCAACTGGAGCGTCTCCATAGTAACGCGTAGCCGAGACAGGTGCAGTTGCATCACAAGGCTGTTTGTTGCCTGGCAAAAGGACAGGCCATTAGTACTTAGATATACGCTGTTGCCTTAGAAACAAATAACCCTACATAGCAACTACAGTTGGTTTGAAAGGTTTGGGGGGAAAAAAAAAGGTTGTAGCAGCTTTTGTCCGTGTTCATAAAAATCAGTGGAAGCATACTTTATTCGAAATGACAACTTGAGGTCATATAGCTGTAGGAGATAAAGTGGGATTTTCTAAAGCAGCCTAGCCAACATTGTAGAAATGTCCAGAAGGATAGAGCCATATGCTTGGTTTTCTCCTTGTGGCTGTAGCCACTCCCAGAATGGAAGAGAACGGCGGCT